GTAAAAGGGGGAGGGAGAAGAAGAGAGGGAAGAAAGAAAGGAAAAGAAGTTATAAAGGACAGAAACAAAATATAGAGAAACAGGGCCTATTTAGAGATAATGGGTGAAAATTTAATGGAAAAAGGGATTCTGCAAAGGTACATAAGATAGTATGGGTATATTAGAAACAGAAATAATTTTAGAAAATATGAAACAATGTATGATTAAAATGTTTGATAAAATAGCTATCGTAATTCAGTGGAATGCTTGTCAATAAATAAATGTAACAAAATGAATATTTAATTATTTATAAAACATGTGAAGAGAAATAAGGGAAAAATTAATTATGGAGATTATATGTGTCTTTAAGGAAGTATGATATTTAATTGAAAAGAAGTGTTAAAGGTGTTAAGATTTTAATGATTATTAATGATAGAAGTGAATTGGAATGGAATGAGGGTTTATAATTATATATATTAATAATCCTTTTTTAAAAAAAAAGAATATAGTGTGTATTATAAGAATGTACCAAGCAGAATTCGATTGGAAGTTATGTATTATGTATTATATTGAAGGTCATAACCTTAAGGTTTATATTGAAGTTTAAATAAGAGTTGAATGGATGTAATTAAAAGATATAAAGGTGTCATACTCCAATTAGTAACTACAGGAAAAAATCTGTTTATAATGATTTGAATTGAGATGAGATAATCAAAATAAAATTGAGAAAATTAAAAGAGGGGAAAAACTATATAGAAAATGTAGAATAGTATAAGATATGGAATAGAACACAAAAAGGAGCATGAAATTGAGTTTTGTGTCTGTATAAAGAAGTTCAACCCGGGACCATACTATTTTCAAAAAAGATGTTTTACTTGTATTTTGTGTGTGAAAACCCAAATAAAACTTCATTTTTTAAAAAAATTAAGCCTACTTAGATATCAGAAATCAGCCAACATTGCATAGCTGCTGTTAGATTGTTGGACTTTTAGCATAGTACCCTTTAAATATACCTGATTTAGATTTCACTGAATTTAAAAAAAATTAAAGCAAGGCAGTTCCCTTCCAATAGCTCCAAATCTTGTATATGATTCCATACATGTTAACAAGGTAAAACAATGTATTTTAACAAATACATTTAACCAGGTATTCTTCCAAAATGATGGTTTATTTCTCAGTGCCACAAACAAGCAACCTTTAAGATGTATATCCTGTGATCAGTCATGGAATTATTTAGCTCTTTTTGGCAAGTTATTAAGTAATTCACTTGTAAATCCAAGTCCTGAATTGAATTTTCCAATTTTTTTTCCAGTTGTCATTCAGCCGCAAACTGTTCTCCGGATAAATTCCATTGAAATTGCTCCTGTTCTGTCATGATGGATTGGTTTGTAACATCTTGGGAGCATTAAGAAAATAGAAAATGTTCATGTTACATTTGGTTATTCTCAGTAAACATTTTTTTAAAATATTATTATAATCATTATTGTTGCCATCACCAAATATCTTTATTGCTTGTGTACTTTTTATTTTTAAATTAAAATATTATAAATAAAACAAAATTCAAAAACTAAAATCAAGACATATATAGTTGTAATCAGTATTATATACTATTTAATAAAAACACAATGAATCTGTTATTAAAAATTATCAAATATATTAGTACAATTAAGATCATCCAATTAAAATGCTTGTGTTTTAAGGTTTCAAACTGATAAGAAAATACTAGCACCAAATTTCCAAAGAGCATTTTTAATAGCTGTGGTTCCATAGCCAAAAAGATTCTCGATTATTTTGCACTGAGGCTATCTTTGCACATAAACTAAGGGGTCTATGACAATTCGCCATGGCCAACTCACTGTGGGGAAAACTCACTGTGGGGCAATTCAATACTGTATTAATCATTTCATTCAGTTTAATATTGGTGATCACCTTTTTGTCAAAATTATAGTATTTCTGGATTGACTTTATTTTATTGTTATTGGCCGCTGTTCCATTGAAATTAATTTAACTTTTGTATTTGTTGAATTGTCCTGTGATGAATTTGCTGTGGTGACTTGGCCATGGCAAGTTGGCCATTGTAAGTTGGATGTGGCAAGTTGTCTCATTCCATAAACTAGGACATATTCTGACCATGGTTTAGAGGAGGAAGAAAGTACTCATGGCCAATTGCTGGTTTGTTTTTTCCATTTCTTGTATTAATACTCAGAAGAAATGAGCAGAGTATAACAAACCCCAAATAAGGGAAGATTATACAACTGTGTGATGGTTAATACATGCCAGGATTCACAAAGTGATTTAAAACTTTGATTTCAAATTGAAGTTTTTGCCAGACATCATGGATTGTTTTTTGTAACAGGTTTGTATGTCACTCAAACAAAAAATAAGTAAGCTACAGGATGGATCCCCATTACAGTACAAGTGAATAGTATTTTGATATACATCTCACATGCTGTGAAAAGCTCTGATAAAGATTCTGGCAATGTTACCTTTCAGCAAATTGGAGCTGAGCTCCATTAAAAAGCAAATGGTGAAAAATATAATACTTCATTGTTCATGTATCTAGTCAATGGTACTAAATATATATTAATTTCGATTTAGATATGTACTCCTATTTTCTCCTTAAACTGACTCTCTACAGGTAGTCTTTGACTCACAAACACAATTGGGGTGGGGATTTAGATCATAAAGCCCACCAGTTTTAAATCAGCACACCCACATGACTGGACCTGATTTTACAACCAGTTTTGCAGTGATTGCTCACTGAATCATATGAACCTATTTTCCCAAACAGGCAGTTTTTGCTAGAAACTGGCAAAAAATAATAATTGTAAATTGTGATCACATAACTTGAAAATGCTGCAACCAGTTGCAAATGTGAACTAGTTGCTAAGTGCCTAAAATTCAGTCATGTGACTGAGGGGCACTAAAAAAAGTTCGGCTGCCAGAAGTGCTTTTACAATATTCAGAAGTGTGGTTTTCATATTTAATAATGTAATTCTATCAGCTCTTACAGTATTTATTAGAACTGATTTGTTCCCATTAAACTGCACTAGTGTATCCTTAGTGTATCTGGGACAATTTGAATGTTCAAACTGTGGTGCCAATATCTCTGGGAACTGGTGAAGTTTACACACAAAAACTGAGAAACAGCTAAGTATATCTGCATTTGGTGTATTTTTTTCAGTGATATCAATAGGGAAAAGAATAGATTACAAAAATTGTGTTGGTAAAGCTTGTTAATTTTTCACTTAAACAACCATGGATTTTTTAATGGATCAGCCTATGTCCATGGTTTTTTTTTTCTTTTAAAATATCTATTTTCATTGATTTTATATAGCTAATAAAGTATTCATAGGTTTTTTTTAATATGTGAACCTGCAGATTTTAGGTCTGATTCATAGTAAATGCATACCTATAGGTCAAAGACTACAGCATGAGAAGGTGGTTGGTTTATCAATGGACCATTGCTAATTTAAATTACAGGCAATTTTTTCATATTATTATGCAGGCTTCTCATTGAAGTGGTTTACACATGTAATCACAATCAAAGGTAGAGAAACAGCTGTCACTGAAGCTTTTAGATGTTAACACTGCTGTAACAGATGCTATAGAAATTGAATAAATAAATAAACAAATAAATAAACTTCCTCAGAGATATATAAAGAATTATGCATATGCAAAGAGAATCATAGCTCCAGAATTCTGGAAAATATATGTGTGAATCTGTTTTAGTCCTAGAGTAACTGGACAAAAGTAGAATTGGAGTTGCACCTTCTGCCTTTGCAAATCTCTGAAATTAGTATTGCAATGTGGCAAATACTGCTTTGACAAACATTTGAGGCTTGACACCACAATTATAAATATGCTCTATTTATATATATTTTTCCAACATTAGTTTTGAATGCTTTGATTTATTTTTAACTTATTTTTCTGGGATATTATGGGTCCATTCTGACTGCAAACAAAAAATACATTTTAATAATCTGGGTTCTGACAGCCTGCAAATGGCAGTCACTGAGTTGCAGGTGGGAAGTGGCAGGTGGAGTTGCAATCCTGATTAACAGCAATGAAAAAACACTGCAACAATTTATCATCATAGCATATACTAGCTGGATCAATAATTAATGCTTTGTTATAAGACAGAAAAGAGTTTTAACTTTGAGGCATGGCCCCAGAATCACCATAATAACTTTTTAAAAAGGACAGTCCATTCCTAATCTCATAATATTGTTGATAGTTGATATTAATATTCATACAGTGTTTCATATGAGCAGTGTGATGGCCTAGTGGTGAAGATGCCCGCCTCCCACTTCGAAGGTTGAGAGTTCAATCCTATGGTGGTGGTAGATGTTTCTCTCAGCAAAGAAAGAATATTTGCTGCAAATCCCGCATGGTGTCAGGAACGGCATCCAGCCAGTAAACACTCAGCTCCATCCAATCACCCCAAATCTATCCCAAATTAAGAGTTTCCTGGGTTGTATAAAGATATTTTTGTGCAGTGTTCATACATAATATTTCATTCATTTTAACTATACTAAGAAAAATAATCACATAAATCAATATCCTTACAAGTAGAAGGCTCAGACTACTTTAACGCTTTGCAAACTTTCTAGGAAACATGTTTAAATCACCAAGACTGACTTATCTGTGAATTTCTTGTAATATTTAGTTCACAAATTAGTACAAAAGGAGGAGGGCTTCCTGAACTACCATGAGTCAGGCTTTTAATGCCCGTCCTCTTTATCTACCAGCTTATTTTTCTCCATGACCTATCTTTATTACACTTCCATAAACTTACTAAATTGTATTATCAAAGAGATAAATTACGCATGAGATAAAGCAGCATCAAGATGACTATATTCACATGGCACCCCAAATGAACTTCTCATTAGGTCCACATCATTTGAACATGGACTGTAGACCAAATAATGGTTACCATGGAATAATTCAGTTGTAGTTGGAATCAAGGTTCATAAAAGGTAAGTAAAAGATTCCTCAGATTGATCTTGTTTGCATTAATCTTTCTTTTATCTGGAAATTAATTTAAAAGGGAAGGTCAATCAGAAAGTTAATCTTGCTTTCTAGACACAAAGATAGGCAACTGTAGAGTGGAACTGTTTGACCCATACATCTCTGCTGCTTCTTGTGTTTTTCTCTGCTAGTGTGTATTTGGGAAACAAATAAGATATAATTTAATCACAGGACACAACCATGACTTCTTGTAACTTATCTTTACCTATGGTCCTTTGTAAAAATTCAGTTGCTCCAGGATTTTTCTGTGTTGTTTGCAATTTAACAGAAAAAACTGAGCAGGAAATATTGAGTAGCACAAAGGTTATTGCAATAATATCTTAAAAGTGGAGGATTATTAAACCCCAAGTCAGTCAAAATTTCATATGTTGTCTGGGTTACATTCAGTGGCTGAGTCCTTTCATCATAATTAATTCATAGTTTCTCCTGCATAGGTGTCCATAAGAAGCCACAATGAGAGAAATGATACAATTCACACCATTCCTTCAATGATATGATACAAGGGCATCCCTTCCCCTCTTCTCTATAGATGCCATTGTATCGTGTGAACGCAGCTGGTTTTTTATCAAGGTTTCTAAGCATACACCGTGTCTGTTTCATTGTTCTGTTATTTGGAAATGCACTTGTTCCTACTTTATAATATTCTTTGGGTTTGTATTAGAGCAGGGGTGTTAAACTCAAAACCTGCGGTCTGGATTTGGCCCACGGGGTGCTTAGTCTGGCCCATGGAGACGACTTGGAAACAGGGAAGGGCCAGCCCACGCAGCCCTCCTGAGCTGTGTTTTCACTGGCAGAGGGTTGTAGGGGGTCATTGCAGCCGAAAACAGGTCAGGAGCCCATTTTTGCTGGTAGAGCGCTTGGGCCGCCACAGGGACCCTGACATGAGTGATGTTGAGCTGGCCACGCCCACTCCAGTCCCCCAAGATCAACTGATACACCCCTTAATGAAATCAAGTTTGACACTCCTGTATTAATTAGAGGATGCAGAAAGATGACACTAGAGAGAGATCTGCAAATCACCTTCTATACTATTTACACCATTCAGCATCTGAATTTCAAGTTATGTGTTGAAAGGAGCAATGAAAAGGAAATCTGGCATACTGCAAGACTGATGAAAATGCACAGGTTCCCTTTGGATTTTTCTAAGAATTTGCCAAAGAGAGTCATCAATATTTGACTCAGTTGGATCAGGATGAATAGAATTTTCCTTTTGTTATTTAAAGTTGAATATTCAAATATTCAAAGTTTTGTTATTCAAAGTTGAATATACATTTTAAAACAAACTATGGTTTCCATTCAATTTTTATTGAATGTTCTTTTGTATTAGATTCTTTTGCTTTTGCTACCAAAACTCTGCAAGCAATGAATACAAGGGTTAATTAAAAGTTATTCTGCCACAGAGGCTTTTGCGAAAAAAATATCTGGTTGCTCAGGAGCTTAAGATAATCATAGCTCAAATTAAGGTGAACTGCTTTCTGAGAATAATTATAAGATTTATGGGCAACTTACAGGCCACAATAATGGATAATAGCATTAATAAGGTATTTAAT